GAGCAGCCCAACGGAAGTGAAACATTCTAGGCTTCAGACTTCAAAATAATTTATTGAGAAGTTGGAGATCTCCCATTATTGTGCGAACAATTGAAGTAAAGATGGGAGGGAGGTATAGCTAACATACAGTATATATGCCAACTATGTTACAAATGCATATGAATGCTAAGTTTTCATGTTGCATATGGTTTTATTTGTTGTTCGGCGTGGGGCTCTGCCCTTTTGTCCATTTTTCCTTTTATTTAGATTTTTCTCTCTCACACTGTATCGTGTACAGTTGCAAGAAAAAGTATGTGAACCCCTTGGGATTACGTGGAGTTTTGCATGAATTGGGCATAAAATGTGCTCTGAACGTCATCTAAGTCACAACAATAGAAGAACATAGTCTGCTGAACATAATACTACACAAACATTAGATGTTGCCATGGTTTAATTGCACATAACAAGTAAACATTCACAGTGCAGGGAGGAAAAAGTATGTAAACCTTTGGACTTAATAACTGGACCCTCCTTTGACCCTCCTTTGCAGGATCAGCAACCACTCCTCAACCAAAACTGTTTCAGTGTAGCAATATTCTTGGGATGTCTGGTGTGAATCGCTCTCTTAAGGTCATTCCACAGCATTTCAATCGGGTTGAGGTCAGGACTCTGACTGGGCCACTCCAGAAGGCGTATTCTGTGCTGTTGCAGCCATTGTTTTGTTGAATTACTTGTATGGTTTGGGTCATTGTCCTGTTGCATCACCCATCCTCTGCGGAGCTTCAGTTGGCGGACAGATGGTCGCACGTTTTCCTGAAAAATGTCTTGATAAACTCTGGAATTCATTTTCCCATCAATGACAACAATCCGTCTAGGCCCTGAGGCAGTAAAGCAGCCCCAAACCATGATGCTCCCTCCGCCATGTTTTACAGTGGGGATGAGGTTTTGATGTTGGTGTGCTGTGCCTTTTTTTCTCCACACATAGTGTTGTGTGTTCTTCCCAAACAACTCAATCTTGGTTTCATCTGTCCACAGTATATTTTGCCAGTAGTGCTGTGGAAAATTCAGGTGCTCTTTTGCAAACTTCAAACGTGCTGCAATATTCTTTTTGGACAGCAATGGCTTCCTCCGTGGTGTCCTCCCATGTACTCCATTCTTGTTTAATGTTTTCCTTATTGTAGATGTGTCAACTAAAATGTTAGCATGTGCCAGAGATTTCTGTAGGTCTTTAGCTGACACTCTGGGATTCTTCTTTACCTCATGCAGCATTCTGCACTGTGCTCTTGCAGTCATTTTTTCAGGACGACCACGCCTAGGGAGAGTAGCAACAGTGCTAAAATTTCTCCATTTGTAGACAGTCTGTCTTACCGTGGACACATGAACATCAAGGCTTTTGGAGATACTTTTGTAACCCTTTCCAGCTTCATGCAAGTCAACAATTCTTGATCGTAGGTCTTCTGAGAGCTCTTTTCTGCGAGGCATGGTTCACATCAGACAGTGCTTCTTGAAACCAGTAAACCCAAAACAGGTGTGTGTTTTTTAAGGGCAGGACAGCTGTCAGCAACACATCCAATATCATCACACTGATTGGAGTCAAGGTTGGCTCACTCCTGGCTCCAATTAGCTCTGGGAGAAGTCATTAAGCTAGGGCCTCACATACTTTTTCCTCCCTGCACTGTGAATGTTTACATGTTATGTGCAATTAAACCATGGCAACATCTAAAGTTTGTGTAGTATTATGTTCAGCAGACTGTTTTCTTCTATTGTTGTGACTTAAATGACGTTCAGAGCACATTTTATGCCCAATTCATGCAAAACTCCACGTAATCCCAAGGGGTTCACATACTTTTTCTTGCAACTGTATTTTACTGTATGGTTATGTTTATGCTGAATCCCTCAATAAAATATTATGGAACGAAAAAACTTGGGAGGGAAAACTCTGGATCCGTAATAAAAGAATAAAGAGCTGTAACCCCTTGATGGACTGTTCCACTCTAACCTTACATGAACGGGACCCAAGGGTCAAAATAACAATTAGGGGCGATAAAAGAGGAGAGGGTTTCTATCACTTGGATGGCAGCCACAGTGCATGAATAAAGGGTAAAGATCCAAGCCATCATGTAGGTGCCAGGCAATACAAGACATAGTAGCTGGCAGGAACTGCCAGTTGAAAGGCCTTCTCTGCATCAGTGGATGGGAGTATAAGTGGTTGGGCCCTTGATGGGGCGGAATGGATCAGATCAATGGCCTTCATAGTGTTGTCATTCACCTACTGCTGAGGGACAAAACCCACCTGATCAGCATGGATGAGTTGACATCTATATATTCTCACCAGCATGCCTCCATGCAAAAATATAATTATGAAGTTGCTTAGCATGCAAACCTAAAAAAAGCACCATTTATCTCTAGAAAAAGAAATGCTTTTCCCCAAGTAGTCTCCAACCTTCTTAATTGTCCAGCTGAGCATTTGCAGTCTTTTCAGCTTATTTTTGTTCATGTAAAATTGTTTGATCCTTCAGCAATTGTAAAAATTACGTTCACAATAATCAATTCAACAGATTTATCTCAAAACAATGCACAAATGATCTGTTCCCTGCCGTTCACAATTGTTCAAGCCAATTTGACCCCTTATATTACATCAGACATTTGCCGTACCCTCTTGTGTTAGTTCATCCAGCTAAAGTAACAAACTTTATCTAAATACTTATGATGATTATCTTCAAAAGCTTTAGAAATACTTGTAAATTACAAAAAAATACGAATAGAACGTACTTTGTAAAAGACTGGGCAGAAGAACCCCTTGAAATAACCAGAGGTTGCACAGGCAGACGCTGCCATCCAGTGGTCACGTTATGTCCAAAGAGAAAGCAATATGAAGTTCCTTGTAACAAGCTAAGGGCTCATGTCACAGGGAGTTTGGAAAACTCTTCTGACCACTGGAAACTGATGCGCAAAGGCGAAGTCACATGTAGGTAGCACACGCATATGTAAACGGTCTTCGTGCCATGCCTGATAGCGAGGGCAATCATTCTAGCACCAGACCTGTGTAACTCTAAACTGGTAATCAGTAAAGGCTTTTAAAGTGTCGCCTATGGAGATTTTTAAGTACTGTAGTCTGTCGCCATTCCACAAGCATGTGCAGTTGTAAAGCATGACATGCAAGGTTTCTATTTACTTGACGTAACATCATATTTTATATTTTGCCAAACAATTGGGTACTCTATTGTCTTTTTTGTGCATTAAAATTCATTAAAGTGTATTTTTTCCAAAGTGTATTTTCTACAAAAAAAATTGCGATGGAAAAAACTACTGCACAAATACTGTGTGACATATAAAATTGCAACAACCACCATTTTATTCTCTAGGACCTCGACTTAAAAATATATCATTTTTGGGGGTTTTAAGCAATTTTTTTTGTAAAAAATTAAGATTTTTTTACATGTAGGAGAGAAGTGTCAAAAGTGGTTAAAGCCCAACTACAAGAAAAATGAAGATGAACCCTTCCTGTGGGACCACGCCCACACTGCAAGGGTTAATTGCTTGTTTAGGTCTAGGGGGTGTGGAAAAGTAGATTTACTTATCCAATCTCTAGTGCTGCTTGCAGTGTTGTCTCTTCTATACTCCATCCGATGTCCATCAAGTCCATCAAGACCGATGCCCTTCAAGACCGATGTCCATCAAGACCGATGCCCTTCAAGACCGATGCCCTTCAAGACCGATGCCCTTCAAGACCGATGCAGGCCTGCATTGTATGTGATGAAGCTAAGGGACACAGTTCCAACATGAGAACACAGGGAAATGCTGTCAGACGGGGAAGGGGAGGACCAAAAAAGTAAAAGTGCTTTTCCTGTCCCCTACACTAAACAAGCAGGTAACCCTTACAATGAAGGCACAGCCCCACTGCAAGGACAAATTTACCATTTTTTCTGGAGTTGGGCTTCTTCTTCTTATTATTATTATTACATCGAGTTTATATAGCGCCAAAGGGTTTGCTCAGCGCTGTACAATAGAGGGGGGGCAATACATGAAACAGTACAGCAACAACAAACAGCACACGAGGGGTTAGAGGGCCCTACTCTTTCGAGCTTACAATCTAGGAGGGAGGGGGTAGTGGTACAGGAGGAAGTGGCTGTGGGGGATGGAGTGGTAGGAGGAATGAAGGAGAACGGCTGTTAGGTGAGGGTGGGGTAGGCTTCCCTGAAGAGGTGGGTTTTCAGGGAGCGCCTGAAGGTGAGAAGGGAAGGTGACAGTCTGATGGATTGGGGTAGTGAGTTCCAGAGGATGGGGGAGGACCTGGAGAAGTCTTGCAGTCGTGCGTGGGAGGAGGAGACCATGGAGCAAGATAGAAGGAGGTCCTGTGAAGAGCGAAGGGTACGGGTAGGGTGGTACCTGGGAATCAGGTTGGTGAGGTAGTTAGGGGCAGTGTTGTGAATGGCTTTGTAGGTCAGAGTGAGGCTTCGTGCCAATGCACACCAGAATCGCACAGGAATGCAGGCTCTATTCCTGCGCAATTCAGTGATGCAAACTTTCAGTCCATTGATTTGAATGGGATGAAATCGCACTGAATCACACCAAAATCAGTGCAAGCACTACTTTTAAAAACAAAATGTGTCTGGTACCATAGTGCCATGTGATCCAGTGCACGCAAATGCACTGCACTTGCAATCTGCATTTGGGGTGTCGATAGGAATACATTGACACCAGCAGCAGATTGCACACCCAGTGCATTTTGAACACAGTGCAGGAAACGTACAAGAAACATGAGTTTCCCACACCATGCTCTGATATGAACAACTCCTTAAAGGAGATCCAGCTGAACTTCATGCAACTAGGGCATTCCTTTACTGCCACACCAGTAAAGGAAAGCAACCTTTGACACGGACACAGCAGGTTGGACTGCTATCTCTGGAATCTCTACTATCTCTGGAATCTCAGGAGGTTAAAAAAATGCATTTTTAAATTCTAAAGCAGCAGACACACACCCACTGTGGCTGATTATATCATTTGATTGTACTACTTACCCTCATGGGATGAATATCAGCGTATGGAGGCTTCCCTTCAGCCATTTCAATAGCAGTTATACCAAGTGACCAAATGTCTGCAACACAATTATATCCGATCTCCTGGATCACCTCGGGAGCCATCCAAAATGGAGTGCCGATTACGGTGTTCCTTTTTGCCATAGTGTCCTGTTGGAAATGAAAATGGAGACTTACACTTAACGCAGATTTACCAGAAAATAAATGTCATCTAGATCAGTGGTTCTCAACCCGTTTGAGGTCAGGGCCTTAAAAGTTCTTTCAAACCCTTCCATTTCCCAATAGGGAAAAAAAAAAATGTATACTTACACAAATTGCTTAGGTTTGCCAAACATTTTAATGAAAGTTCTGAATTGTGGGAAAGCTCTGGAAGGGGCTGTGTGTCACTGTTGAGGGATAAAGGCTATGGAGTGGGTTAAGAGACTCTGCAATAGACCTGGTGGCCTTATAGCGCAGTGGTTGTCAACTTTTGAGCTAAAGGGGGCCTCAAATGCAGAAAGGGCCACATATAATGTAATGCTTGAGAGGGTGGTCACACACTGCAGGCCTAATAGAAGAAATGAGGGTCAGAGAGTGAGGACATGCTACATGTCCACATTGGAGATATGCTGCAGAAGACAATACCAAATTGGTAACATGGTAGATGAGGCTAGTAGAGATCAATGCTATCACCCTAATCAATGGTTCTACTACAGACTGCTGAGGTCCAAGGGCCACACATCATATACCAAAGGGTCACATGCGGCCCTCGGGCCGCAGGTTGGGTGCCGGGGCTGTAGCAGATGAGTTTTCTGGAAGAGGCTTGTGGACACTGTAGGACAATTTTGGAAGTTGGGAACACTTGGGAAGGCTTGAAGCAGACCAGGGGGCACAATGGGAAGAGGGTACTATGGGTGGATGGGGGCATGTGGGAGGTAAGGGATCTTGCAGCTGGCTAGAGCCGCAGCCTGGCACTGTGGGCAAAAATTGGTGGAAGTGGAGAAACGCTGATCAAGGTCATACAGATTTTGCCAAATGGCTGTATAATTTAGACCCCTGGAGCCACAGCCGGCTCTAGTGGCATGGACACCTTCAGACTAATTATTTCATAAAACAAATTTACAGGAAAAAAAATTTTGGGTTTTTTTTTTACCCCTCGAAATGAAAATATACATTTCCATTGATGTTTCATTTTATTACAAGACCTATCGGAATATATCTAACAGTCTTTGATCTCTCCAGTGACTTGCAAAGTATTGACTGATCTGTGCTAATTAACACCACATCAGACTCTGGCTGCTTTACTTTTTTGATAATCCTGACAATTTTTTTGGATGACAGCATTACAACAGCAGTGTACAAAAATAGAACAGTGTGGAACGTAAGAACAGGTCAGTACAAATGTCTAGAAATACTAATATATATATATATATATATATATATATATATATATATATATATACACACAATATTAGCCCTAAGTGATCTGTTTATGGTACCTCTGCACCATCCTTTTCATGGTAGCTCAACAAATTTCACTGTTGATCTGTTAAAGTTTATAATGTATTTCCAAAAGATTTTTTTTTGGATATACAGTGGGGATCGAAAGTTTGGGATGAAAGATTGCAACGCAATAGTCCGGATGGTGGATAAGCAGCCCCCAGCAAAAAAAGTTGTATTAATGTGCATAAAGAAGCCAAGGAAAGATAGAAATGGCAGTCACCAGGAACAGTGGAAGTTAAAGCTACGGTAAAGATCTGGAAGACCAAGAAAAATATCAGACAGAACAGCTCGCAGGATTGTGACAATGAAAAACAATTCAAAAACCCACGTTTGACTGCACGATCCCTCCAGAAAGATCTGGCAGACACTGGAGTTGTGGTACACTATTCCACTATAAAGAGATACTTGTACAAATATGGTCTTCATGGAAGAGTCATCAGAAGAAAACCTCTTCTACATCCTCACCACAAAAATCATCGTTTGAAATTTGCAAATGAACATATAGACAAGCCTGATGCATTTTGGAAAACAAGTTCTGTGGACCGATGAGGTTAAAATTTAACTTTTTGGCCGGAATGAGCAAAGGTACGTTTGGAGAAGAAGGGGCACAGAATTTAATGAAAAGAACCTCTGTCCAACTGTTAAGCATGGGGTTGGATCAATCATGCGTTGGGGTTGTGTTGCAGCCAGTGGCACAGGGAACATCTCACGAGTAGAAGGAAAAATGGATTCAATAAAATTTCAGCAAATTTTGGATGGTAACTTGATGCCATCTGTGAAAAAGCTGAAGTTTAAAGAGAGGATGGCTTCTACAAATGGATAATGATCCTAAACACACCTCGAAATCCACGGGGGATTACATTAAAAGGCATAAACTGAAGGTTTTGCCATGGCCTTCACAATCTCCTGACCTCAACATAATTGAAAATCTATGGATAGACCTTAAAAGAGCAGTGCGTGACAGACAGCCCAGAAATCTCAAAGAACTGGAAGACTTTTGTAAGGAAGAATGGGCAAAGATACCTCAAACAAGAATTGAAAGACTCTTGGCTGGCTACAAAAAGCTTTTACAAGCTGTGATACTTGCCAAAGGGGGCAGTACAAGATATTAACTCTGCAGGGTGCCCAAACTTTTGCAGACCCATTTGTTTGTTTTCTGTTATTTTGAAAGTGTAAATGATGGAAATAAAAATCTAACTTTTGTTGACATATTATAAGAATGTCTAATCTGTAATTTGATGCCTTTTGGAGATTTTTCCATCTTTCCTTGGCTTCTTTATGCACATTAATACAACTTTTTAGCTGGGGTGCCCAAACTTTCGATCCCCACTGTAGCTATGGTAATTGTTTAAACTCTTTTTTTTGTGTTCCATTTTGTAGGCCTGTCCTAAGGTGACAATGCTGCTTCTACAGTATAGTGGGTGAGCATTGTCACCCTAGGACAGGAAGAGTATTACAATAAAGGGAGTGTTAGGTTGACTGGAGGGTGGATATGTTATACAAACACATAGCGAAAAAAATCCTCAATAGGTCAGCTTCTCCTAACAATAGACAAATCTTACAGCAGTCAAAACTAGAAGAACTGTCTCCCTTGACCTCCTGATGGGCCAAACTGACCTGAATAATGGTCAATGAACGTTTGACCACTTTTCTTCAAGATATGATGGCCTACTTTGAAAAAACCTAGGATCTTTGGATGAAAGATCTCTCAGCTCCATCCTAGGCAAGATGGTGGACAATATGGGGAATCTATAAACAGTACACGTCTTATACCCAGTGTCTGGCCGCCTGCCGGTTCCTCCTCCTCCTCCACGCATTCTCTCTTTCTTCTTTCTCCATCTCTATTCTTTTTCTATTTCTCTTTTCACTCTTCCCTCTATCCTTAATTCCTTTCTCTTTATGTTTCTTTCCCTGGTATTGGAAATAATTAACTAAAGGCTATGGGGGGGGGGGGGGGGGGTGTCTCCCCTTCTGGCCTGCTGAACATTGGAGGGTGGTCAACCCTCAATATGGGTCGCAGTAGTCTCTGATACCAGGCCTGACAAAAAGTTTTACTTTAGTTTTAGTTTTCTCTCTTACCTTATTATTACTGGCCTTACATTTATGAGTCCCAATGGGACCCTTTTGGCTATCATTGACTGACAATTGTCCTGGAATATTGTATATTGTGCATTGCTTGTATCAAACCCAGATGGGTTGCATTTGTGGAAAAATGGATGTATAATTTTCTGGACTGGCTTGTAACTCCTTCTTTTCTAAGATAAAATGAATAAACATCATTGAAATGAAAACTAGAAGAACTATTGCCATGTATATCATAGTTGGTAATTTAAAGAAAAGGGAATTAAAGGACATGAGAGATCTGAGAAATGAGGTATGAGAAAAAAAAGAGGGGAAAGGAAGTGAACACGAGTGGACGAACCCAAGAGAGAAAGAGGGAGAAGGGGAGAAGACATATAGGTGCTTTGATTTGAGCATGCCCGACCACATAGAGCACTGCCTCAAGAGGCTAAGCTTCAAGAAGTGAGGAGTGAAAATTGGGGGGGTGGGGAGTGGTCCACCCAGGTTGCCAAACTTTTGTATAATTATGCACTCTATCCCGCAGAGTAGCTTCAACCTTGGCGTACAACATTGCCTGCAGAATTCTATTCTTGGTTGCTAGGTGGCAAAGTGAAGGTGTCATCAAGGCTCTAGCTATGGTTTGGTACGCAAGCGAACTTTAACAATTGTTCAGTTGTATTTTGGAGAACTACAGCATGGCATGTGTAGGTAATTTGAAACTAAACGTGATAGCATATACATGTGTTGTTTTGACAGAAATTAATATATACAGAATTACCTCGGTTTATGAATTTAATTCGTTCTGCAGGACTTTTCGTATAGCGAAAAATTCGTAAACCGAAATGCCGTTTCCCATAGGAATGCATTAAAAACCAATTAATCCGTTCCTGAGGTCAGAAAAAAGTAAACGCTACTAAAATACCGCATCATAGATGGCACATGGGGTGGGGTCACATGCATGACCCCCACCCCTTCCATATTTAAAAACTGTCAAGCCAGCTCAGAGGCAGAGTTTTGGAAGCCATCGTCAGGAACGGACCACTCGCTCGTTTCCCCCCCCCCCTTTCCTGACCTGCCGGGCTGCATGCTCAAAAAAGGGTCTGGTATGGATTTTGGGGGGACCCCAATGCCATTTTTTTTTTTGTTTTGGAGTGGGAGTTCCCCTCAAAATCCATACCAGACCCGAAGGAGGGGGGACCCCACGCCGTTTTTTTTATTTATTATGGTGCCAGTTTTTAAATGTAATTACCGCCTTTTTTTAGTTTATTTACCCAAGTTAAAAGGAACAATGTTTCCTTTTAGTTTCTTAAAAGAAACAAAATTTCCTTTAACTCCTGGGAAAGGTGACAGCTAATCCTGTGAGCTATAATAAAGAAAAAAAAAAGCCAGCAATTGCGTTTAAAAATCAGCACCGACATACACTTCGTATTGTGAAATTTTTTTAAAAAAAATGTGTAAACCGAGGCATTATTTTCAATGGATTTTCATTCATAAACCTGAAAATTACATTAACCGAGGCATTCGTAAACCAAGGTACCACTGTATTATTAAAAATTCAGAAATGAGAAAAGATGAAATCGCTACTAATGTACTTTACTGAGCACCACTTCACTTCACTGGAAGACAATGCTCCTGTGCATTTCACTGACTGCCACTGTTCCCACGCAAGTCTTACTTCCACTGCTCTTTTGCTGTGTCCATGCATTCACTAACACCACTGTACCTATATACAGTACTTCTCCACTGAACGCCTTTGTACTGTGAGGGTTTAACTTAAATGTAGTACTTCCAAGGTCTCAATTCACTCACCAACTTGCATTAAAAAGGGCTTTTTTTGTCCACTTTTATTTAAAAATATGTTTTCAAAACAGTAGGTTTCCCATACAGAGGTTTAGCCTTCTGGCTAACTTTGGCCCACTCAGGTCTTCAGTCTGTCACCTACAAATGTGACTCAACCTCTTGGCAACTGAATTGTCCCACTAGGGCTCTACAGGCTTTATGCCAGTTGTTGAGTTGTCTCTCTCTATTGTAGCGTTGTCTCAACCTTTACAGAAAAGTGTTCCATCTCTCCCTGTGCCAGAAAGTGTCCCATCTCTCCCTGTGCCAGAAAGTGTCCCACACTCTCATGTGGATTAAATGCCTGTCCTTTAAGCTGGACAGGTTGCCACGCAGACATACACTACTAGTGTGTCATTCACACATGTAGCTGCCGTGTGCAGCTGACTCACCAGAGGAAGGAGGAGCCCCGAACTCTATTCAGCTCTCATACTCTGTGCACACCTGCATAATAACTAGGTCCTGGTCACCATCAAACCGTGGAACTAGGGTTGGAGGCTTCATCCCATCAGATAATCTATAAAGCCTCCTAGCTCCAGAACCTATACCAGGATTTACTAATCCTCGAGCAAACTTAAAGGCCAGTTTTCTTCTAATGAGACATATATTCCAGATCCTCAACTTGCATAGGGTGTCACCAAACCTTTATTACACTGTGACATAGTGCAGCATTGTCACAGCACCCGCGCACTTCTTTACTGACCATAAATCAATCCACACATTTCTCCACTGAACCCACACATTTCTCCACTGACCAGCAGTAAACCCACACATTTCTCCACTGACCACCACTGAACCCACACATTTCTCACACTGACCACCATTGAACCCACACATTTCTCCATTGACAACCACTGAACCCACACATTTCTCCACTGACCACCAGTAAACCCACACATTTCTCCACTGACCACCACTGAACCCACACATTTCTCCACTGACCACTATTGAACCCACACATTTCTCCATTGACGACCACTGAACCCATACATTTATCCACTGACCACCAGTAAACGCACACATTTCTCCACTAACCACCACTGAACCCACAAATTTCTCCACTGACCAACACTAAACCCACAAATTTCTCCACTGACCACCACTAAACCCACAAATTTCTCCACTGACCACCACTAAACCCACAAATTTCTCCACTGACCACCACTAAACCCACAAATTTCTCCACTGACCACTACTAAACCCACAAATGTCTCCACTGACCACCACTAAACCCACAATTTTCTCCGCTGACCACCACTAAACTCACACATTTCTCCACTTACCACCACTGAACCAAATATTTTTCTTCACCAATAGCCAATATTGCATACATTAAAAGTAGATATAAAACAGGTTTAAAAATTTAGAAACTTAAAAAAAAAACCCAAAATATAAATGTCCCAAATTATTATAGTTTCAATTTACAAAATGTAATTATAGTAAAAAGCACTTACTGTCAACTGACCGGCCACTCCAAAGTCTGCAAGTTTAGCAATTCCCTCAGAATTTAGTAGTATGTTCCCAGCCTTGATGTCTCTGTGTATTTTTCGCATAAAATGAAGGTATTCCAATCCTTTTAGAGTTGACTGCAATATAGTTGCAATTTCATCCTCTTTCAACTGTAAGAGAAAAATCATAAATGTCACAGAATGGATGGGATAGGTTGTAAATGGTAACATGAATCTTTGGGGTTGCTTTTGGATAATCTTACGTACTTTAAATGTATTTCCATCTAAAATAATAAAATACTTGTTATGGGATCAATCAATGATTGCATTCTAGCCAGATTTATTTATCATAATGGCTCTCATGGCTTTTCTTTTCCTCTTTTCTCCCTACTTTTCTTCTTGGTGGCAAAAAAAAAAACACTCTTAGTAAATAACCTGAGAATAGACAGAATTGATTTCAATGATTGGGTTTTAGTATTTTGTACTTTGTTTATTTTTTATTTAATGATTTATTATTCTTTTTTGTTTTTGATACGTAGTCCTCTCCTGTTTTTTAGACCGAGGTGAGGTGGTAACACTGCCATAGCCCCACACACCCGGCACAATAGGCCTCCCCCAATTGTGAGGGGAGGCAATTGCCGTTTTTGAAGGTTTGGGCAGCTCTGCAGTCTGTCCTCCCTCATAACTGCTTGCCCTACAGCGGGTTTGCGGTTTGTTGCCACTCCTGGCTTTCCAGAAACCCCTGTGGTAAAACCGGATATGATGTGAGTGGATATCGCATCATGATGCCAGATGTGACGTCATTGTGTGGCGAGTCATTGACCATGCATGCGCAATTTGAGGTGAACGCCAGAGGGCCTAACTGGGCGCCATTTTCCTCTCTTATAACAGACCCATACAGGAGAACTTGCAGTTTATCCTCATGAGAGGATATTTGGCTCCCCCCACTGAGCCTGCCCTATATGTTCTTTAGCACTTACTTGTTGGACACATATCCAAGGTGGAGACAGCTCATGCAAGTGGCTTGGAGATTTTTGAATCAAAACCATGGGTGGCTAATTGTAAGTCCAATTATATCTTTTTTGAATTTTTGCTTAGCCTGATTAAATGGAGGGAGATTATCTCTCCCTGGTTAAGAACAATGTAATTTTGGATCATTTTTTTTACCAGTCAATCTTTGGCAGGATATGGGAGATGTTTTTCTTCCCTATTTCTAAGAGCATGAATTTAAATTAGGAGAATTTGTCTAATTTGCCTTAAACTATCCAATTTGTCAAATACCTAAGAGATATAGAATCATTTTATTTAAAATCAGATGTATTAGTATCATCCCCTTCTTTCTAGAACAGTGGGCGATGAGGTTTAAGAGGTCCTTCTGTGAATCCATCAGGGGCGATGGTGGTAACCATTTGTCACACCTTGGCTATAGGAGATGGCTTCCATATCGAACAGATTTTGATATTATGCAAGAAAAATCTTTTTTGTATTATAACATATTTGAAAACAATTAGTTTTTTCCTTGAAATATTATTTGCTGTAATGTGGATGCAGTTGATTGTGATAAGACCCTTATATTGCAGAGTGGTATCATTTCCCTGAGGAAGGAGCTAATGAAAAAAGCTTTGAAACGCGTTGGAGACCCCAAGGTAACCAACCAACAATCAAGAACCAACAGATTGTGATAGTGTGGACATGTTTTGTACATGTATTAGCTAGGGATACCACTGTTTAGAGTTTGTCAATATTTTATGGTTTTGAAAACCAATTTTGTAACAAAGATGCAAAAAAAAATGCTATATTCTTGTGGAAAATATGGACATGTGAAGTAATGTATACAAAAAATTTATTTTTAAAGTTCATTGACTATTTGTCATTATAACAGTATGATCAATAAAAAATATATATAGTTTGTTGTATGGTTGCCTTTAAAATCTGTTCTCCAATAGCACCTACTAGCATTAAACTAACAACGAACGATAAGGCTGATTGATAAAAGAGGTGGATATTCGTGAAGGATAAAAAAATGCTTGCAGGAGGACATGGGGATATTGCAGACTGACCTCCTTAGAGAATCTAAATCTGCAGCAGAGGCATTTGTAGAAGAATGAATGAGAATGGATAATCCAAAAAAAAACAATTAATACCTTTGGCACCAAGGATTCCAGTAATAACAGGAATAATTTGTACTCAGTGTACAAAGTGTACTCCAGTAGTTCAATGGGTAACAGTCCGTTATTTCAGAAATTGATGGATATAGCTGCTACCTCTAGGAGGTTGGAAACTAGACGACACAAAGGCCATGGTGCATCTAGTAGCTATACTTCTGCATATATGCTCAGGATTTGCAGAGAAGGGCATTGTATTTGTCTCCTAAAAGCTAAGGAAGCTGAAATGGACAAAAGGAGTGGTTGCCTTTACATGATGAAGACCTTGGTATAAGCATCTGCAGAAAGTGGCAGTAGCACTCTTTACGATGGCACCCAGAAAGTCCTAAATAGACATTCCCTTTTGAAAGGAAGCTGGATCAGGAATATCCTAAATGTCTGGTCTGCAGACCAGAATTAAGTCAACATACCCACCAAGGAACCACAGCTGCAAAACTGACGAAGGCTACCACATGCCTGGCGTCTAGTGAGATGTCACAGGTAAACTTTTATGCCTGTACCAGCTGATCCTTCAAGTTGTCAAACCCTCTGGAATATGTTTCTGATGCAGGATTCTAGCTTTGGGAAATCCAGATATAAGGAAAAACTGGCCTGAGATAAGATCCAGCAGAAGTCTAGATAATGGTTTCAGATCTCTTTCCACCATATCCTTAAAGAAAAAAAAGACAGTAATCACCATCACCTTCTTAGAGGTAAAAACTGGCAATGCCACTTAGAATGCAGAAATGCCTGTTGTGCGGTTTTCACTCTCTAAAAAGAATGTCAAACTGGCCTGGCTTTGGAGAGGAGGCCTGGTCGGGGAGATGAGGCTTTGGCCTAACATCTTAGTTTACAGGAGGCAGAAGCAGGTAGCTAGGAATGGGCCTGCAAGGTCTCAGTGTGACTGGCACAATCAAACTTGAGGTTGCACAGGGCACAGACAAATGAAAGACCAGCTGTGGAGTTCTGCCAGCATCAGCATGGTGACTGGTCTGTTTTCTGGATTCAGACATGTTGCCAAAATTAGGAAACGGTCCCAAAGAAGGTTGCATTCAGAGAACTTTTCGGAGCCCCCTCTTCACCAGGCTTATTGCAACTGCAGAAGGTTAAGTTCTGGTAAAAAAGCAGATTTTTTGACCCCTAGGAAGGCACTAAGTTGCCAGGCTGTTCAAATACTTACCAAGGCTTGAGAGATTACACACTTAGATTAATACCTAGGAAGTCAACTTTTTTCAAATAAGTATATTTTCAATTTTTTCTCCACAGACGGTTTTCTTTCTACGTTAATACATTATTTGAAATCTGATAGGAGGCATGATGTAATAGCAGTTAAGTCCCATTGACATTGGATTAACCTATGCACATTATCGCAGTCATTTTTGCACATTAATGGGCGCAGTTTTGTGTCCTGAGACTTGATGTGCTTAACAGGCCAATCATTTGAATGAAATGCCAATGTATCTTGGCGCATGAAAAAATAAAGTACGCACAATATTATTTAGCTACATGACATCCTGCAATACCCAGAGTATTCAAGTTTGTGTGTTGTGGTGTGCTACAGGTCACATGCATTTTTCTTTACTGTATGTAGGCATTTGGGGTGTCATTCAGAATGAATGGCACCATACCACAATGCACATATTGGTGCATTAATTTGGAATGTGATCACGCAGGCTAAAACGCACAGTTTGTGTCACAACACACTGGTCCAAATGGGTTCTAAAGGGAGGAGGTATGATAAGTAAGCTGTATGCACCACTGGACAACCCTGATGAAGTCAAGAGGAGGATGAAACGCATTGGATAGAGAATCCAGTAAAGCAGGGGTGTCAAACTGGCGGCCCTCCAGCTGTTGCCAAACTACAAGTCCCATCATGCCTCTGCCTTTAGGAGTCATGCTTGTAACTGTCAATCTTGCAACACCTCAAGGGACTTGTAGTTTGGCAACAGCTGGAGGGCCGCCAGTTTGACACCCCTGCTTTACTGGATTCTCTATCCAATGCGTTTCATCCTCCTCTTGACTTAATCAGGGTTGTCCAGTGGTGCATACAGCTTACTTATGTACACAGTGTGTTGTGACACAAACTGTGCGTTTTAGCCTGCGTTGTCACATTCCAAATTAATGCACCAATATGTGCATTGTGGTATGGTGCCATTCATTCTGAAGCAATGCATATGGGTGTGTGAGAAATCCTGCATATGCTTTTTGCATTCTTTTTTAATCTTTAACAACATAAATGCACAAAGGGAGGCTTCTTCTATCTGCATGACTTTTCTGTACAATGCGATGACAAGCATAACCGTGGAAGGGAAAAAGAGAAACAGGGATTCATTCTAACAGTAGTTTGGCACAAAGAGCAATTGACAAGGGCACCAGATTTTAGGTTGTAACTGACCTGCATTTATGTGTTGGGTCAACAGTGGATTTGCTTACAGGATGGTCATAATGGAGGGAATAGATAGGATCTAATTTTCTAGCAACACTGAAATTACAATTCTAGCATTAGTTTTGACTAAAATAATAACATGATGCATGGACAGAGCTTTACAAAAAAAGATCACCATTCAGATGGACCTGGGCCACCATGATGACTAAATACAACCATGACTATAGCATGTCTTGGGTACTAGACTCTTACTTTTGTCTAGCTATCAAAAGCAACCACAGTGCTGGTAACACCAATGATGATTCACTTTAACCTGTGGTAATGCAAGGGATGTACTGTATATGGCTACAGAACAGGAAGTCACAAGATCGCAACTAAAAAAACAAAAACAAAAAAAGAAAATCACAAAGTAGACATCACTGTAATATAGAACAACAAGGACTTTTGGGGTTCCACCTCACCATAATATTAATGTTTCATGGTTTGCAAAGGTCAATAAATCTGCTTGTGGTTAACAAAATATCTTAACATTAACACTCGTTTTTCCCACCAACATTGGGATTTTCTAAAAGGTCTAAAAGCAATAGACCTTGCACCTGCTTGCCTGTGTAAAACATGAAGTGAAACTCATAAATTACATTTACAATCTACATTCTAAGTACTTCCTCTTGGCCTGCGACTATTAATAGAGCTATCAAAATCAGAAAAAAATGTTTTTGCCTTGTATGTATCAGTAAAAGAAACATGTTCAGAACACTGGGTCATTCTACTGAGGAGCAAGGCTGTGCAGGAGATGGAGGTCACAGAGGGCTAGGAAAAAAATGAAAAATATATTCAGTGATTCACCGATGCAACACCGACATCTTAGAGTAGACTTTGGCACCAGGAGGTGGTGCTGGATGGGGGATTTATGTGCAATTTACCCTCCTTACCATTGTATTGAACTGCTGCAGAATACACTAAAATAAAACAGATGAAAACATTTTTGAGAAATTAAACACCCTTTTCCTCCTGCAAATAAATTTTCTATAAAAATCAGTTAATGTGTGATTCCTAATGAAACTTTGTTTTGTAGTTTTAGGGAATGGCAAGAACCTCCATCAAGTTTCTGTTGTTGTATGTGTGACCACCAAGCCTGCCAGGAAACCCTCACCTGTATGGCCAATTTTGCCTTTATAATTACCCCATGCACTCAAAACTCGAATGCGGTACTTAGAGACTGATCGATTGTGCACTCCTCCAGCTTTTGGGTATTGTACTGACATGCCTTGAAGCCCTCTTTGGACTGTTGCTATCCCTTCATATACAGCACTAGAAAACAGTAGAGAGACAGTGCACCAGCCTAGCGCATTACCACAATACAAACTTCACTAAACAAAAATAAGTAATGTACTCATAAATGCATGAAAATGACGGGCATTTCAAAGAATACATATGAGTCTGCTGCCAGAGCCACACCGCTCAACTTAGACCATGGGAAGACCCTTCAATGTTCAATACTGCTAAAGCGTTTCGAGGGGCAGCCCCTCTTCTGTAGATCTGGGAGTCAGCTCTGAAGAAGAATGCTGCCCCTAAAAATGCATAACCCATATTGGACACTGCAGGGTCTTCCAATACTCTATTGTCAGGGCTGGGCTTCTGCTACTTAACAGGTAGCACTTTTCTTTCAATGCTCAGAAGCTTTTCAGCTGTCAGTTAATTACCAGCCACTCGTTGTCTCCACAGTGGCTCACCAGGATACCATTACCTGCCTCATTAGTCCAGCCTACAGCAAGTCTTTTTTGCCATTTTAGCAGCTAAGCTTATTTCGTCCTTGCCCTTCCGTGGTCTACGATTCCAGTGTGTTCCTGCCTGTGCTCCTGTGTACAACTCAGTCTGGCTGTCATCTCTTACGATTCCTGTTCCCAATTTTTGCTCCTTACTACTCTGACTTCTGGTTTCCTGACCCAGCTCGTCTGATTACCCGCTCTGGCATCCAAACCCTGGCTTCTCTTTTTAACTACATTCCTGAACTGTGTTAATTTTACTATTACTATAAAGGTGTGATTTTAACTGCACTTTCTGTCTCTGCATGGTTCATGGTTCCTAACATCTATATTGTAATCTCTATCAATAGTATGTGGTTACACTGCTTTATGGTTTATATTTTGTCATTGATCCTATAGTGTCTGTGGCAGGGGCATTCGCCACCCCGCATATATACACTGCTTCCTAGTTGGCTGGACACACCCATGCTCATCAAAAATATCCACTGAGAGTTTCCCTCACTTATTGTCTGGAAGAGATGAGGAAGTGATGGGATTTCTCTCACTTTGGTGACATTTCCATACTTTGACAACTGTACTGGAATCCCTGTGCAAATGGAAGAATTTTGCTTGCCTCACAAATTTTAGATTTTCTTTATGGCAACAGTCTTTGGGTGGGTCCATTTATCTCAAATGAGGACTCAGACAAAAATAACAAAAATGACAGACCCCTCCTCATTCAACCCAACACTTGAAAAAAGTACTTTTGTGGTACAAATGATAAATGCATCTGAATGTTTCTGAATAGAGAATCAGAGTAGAAGATCTTTTAAACCAAAATTGAATCACAATATGAAATCTTTGGTTAATCACGCAGGGCTTCTGTATGTCACGGAGTAGCTAAAAGGATGGTTGTTCAGTGAGTAATACGACTGTCAAACATGGAGGAAGAGGCATGATGCCCTGGGGCTCTTTACCACATCTAGGGTTGCCGCCTTACGCAAAATAACTGGCACCCTAACTAATCCAAATGTCAACCACAGCATTTTGCAGCTTAATGCAATACCTTCTGGTCTATGCCTTGTTACTTCTAGTTCATCCTACAGCAAATAATAACCAAAACACATTTCTGGGGTAGCTCAAAGCTGCCTTATAAGAAAAAAACAAGATCGCAAGCGTCAAATCACAGAATGGCCTGCAGAGCCTTCAGACTTAAACCCCACTTTGATAGCTTGGGATGAACTGTACAGAAGGGTGAAAGCAAAGTACCCTATAAGGGGAAAACTTGTGCAAAATTCTGATATAGTGTTAGAAACAACTTAAACAAACCATATTGGATTTCGAATTTACAAATAACGGCATAAGTGTGTTTGGCTGCAAAAGGTGGCTATTTTGAGCAGACAATTTTTTTTACATTAATTTTTTTTAAACAACCACCTGTTTAATTTTTGTCTTTTCAACTATTTATTTTTGATACATTCGAAGTAAACACTTTTTTGGCTACTTAATGTACCAGCGAGAAACTTACGGTTTGTTTTCTTTGTCGAATGATATCAGAGACCGATCCTCCTCCACAATACTCCATCACAATCCACAGGTCAGTATTTTTAAAGTAGCTTCCATAATACTTCACAACATGATTGCTGCAACAAGGAAAAGAGGAAGTAAGATTTTTCATGTGTTGCTGATACCATCACATCACAATAAACGGTAAGAGTGAGATACAATATAAAGTCAAAATGTGCCAATATAGATCAGAAACCTTGCAATAATGATGGAAGCCAACAACAAAAATATTTTTCATACATTTAATGCATCACCTGTCAAATCCATAAAAACACAGAAAACTTCTTTACCTGTCAAGACACATTAATGCTTTGATTTTCCTGTTCCACACTGATCACATGATCAAATGCCTAGCCTTTAGGGTAATGAAAGAAACATTTTCTCTAGAAAATGTAAGTTAAAGCCTATTATAAAACCTAACGCTTCTCCACACTATTTAGAATTAAAAAAATATGTTTTGGCTACCTGAGTAAAAGATGAAAGTGAGCGCTAGATGGAAAGCTGCTGTACGCCAAAAGGTACCAATAAACCTACAAGAAGTAAACAAGGAAAGGGCACAGCGCTAAGAGCAGTAGAATAACTCTAATATTCTATTAGAGCTGACACACTCCCTATGAATACGTGCATTTAGCACGAAACGCGTAAGGGTAAGAGCAGCACACCCCAGACATCACGCCGCCGCATGGGTCGGTGGCCATCTTTGAATACTACTCATGGTCAGTTTTATTTGTTTGCTTATTTTTGTCTTATTTTGGATCAATAAATTTTCATTTAAAAACGATATCACACCATCCTGGCTTTCTTTCTTGGGACTCTTGTTGAGTCCACCATCCGCAGAGCCACCAGGGAAGACAGCTGAGAGGTGTTATAGTCTATAAGTACATGATCCATAGGGGAGCCTGGAAGGACAGATGTGCCCAGATGGTGACCTTGAGACGTTATATCCAACCCTAAGATGACCTCACTTGGATATCTGGAGAGGATTATTATCTTCTACATGCATATTTGAATTATGCATCTGGTGAGTGTGTAATTCAAACATTTGATCACCGGAAGATGCACGTTTTAGATCATCACCCTGCTATTTTTAAAGACTTTTTTAGCACGTTGTTTTGACACACGACAGTCACTTATTTTACGTGTTGTCTGTCATTGATATGCTTATCTGTGTATATTAGAGTTATTCTATTGCTCTTAGTGCTGCGCCCTTTCCTTGTATGTTTTGGCTACCGTTGAGCTTTAAAAAACCTCTTTTGGTCGTGGTCCTATGGTCTGTGTAGCATAGGGGTCTTTTTCTTTATATTATCTGTTGCCTCAAAAGTTAGCGTATATTATCTCTGCGTGTGCTGATACCACCATTGGGACTGCTTACCCTATTTCTACAGTATTGTGTGATATAAGGACATGTCTAAATATGTGGAATCAGGCAGTAGTACTGGCCTCTCCACAGCCTACTTATATATAGTAACTGAAGATTTGGTGGGTAAGGCAAGTCTTTTTTCTGATGGCAGAAAAGCATGCAATAGGTTGATATTTTTCAAAGTGTTTGTAACATGGAACATAATTTGGCATTGGTGGAAGATTGGTCAAACAGTGGAAACTGCACTTCAAGGTTACTAAATGCAAAATAATGCACCTATGGAAAATAGTCCCTTGAGAGACTACAATATATGGGGTACAGTTTTGGCACGATCTATAGAGAAAAAATATATTTGGATACCTAATTCAGATGATTGCAACATGAGCAACCAGTGTGGCCTGGAAGTGGAATCAGGGGTGAATCACTAGAGGGATCAGCAGAAAGAGGGAGGAGGCTATGATTCCCCTACACAGACCTTTAGATTTCACTAGAGGAACAGCAGTGGGAGAAGGTGGTCCCAATTTCTCTGTATATATATTTAGTTATCACTAGATGGATCACCAGCAGGAGGAAAACTGGTCCTGATTCCTTTATAATGATCTTTGGTTATCACCAGAGTGGTCACCAGCAGGAGGAAAGGGCCCTGATTCCTTTATATTGATCTTTGGTTATCACTAGAGTGGTCACCAGCAGGAGGAAAGAGGTCCTGATTCCTTTATATTGATCTTTGGTTATCACCAGCAGGAGGAAAGAGGTCCTGATTTCTTTATTTTGATCTTTTGTTATTACTAGAGTGGTCACCAGCAGGAGGAAAGAGGTCCTGATTCCTTTATACTGATCTTTGGTTATCACTAGAGTGGTCACCAGCAGGAGGAGAGAGGTCCTGATTCTCCTATACAAATCTTCAGTTATCAGTAAATGGGTCATCAACAGGAGAAAGGTAGTCCTGATGGATCACCAGCTGGAGGAAGTAGGTCCCGATTCCTCTACATAGGATTTTTAGTTCTTACTAAAGGAATCAACAGCAGGAGGAGGGAGTTCCCGATTCCCGTATATGAACCTTTAGTCATCACTAGAGGGGTCACCAGCAGGAGGAAAAAGGTCTTGATTCCTCTATAGACCTTTTAGCTAGACCTTATTTAGAATACTGCATCCAGTTCTGGAGACCTCACTAACAATAGATATTGATAAGATAGCACACCAAGACAGATAACAAAAATGGTGAAAGGTCTGAAGGATAAAACATATCAGGAGAGACTTCAGGAACTTCAATGTATCACAATGGAACAAAGAACAATTTCTTCCCAATGTTTGACAAAACTGAGTTTTATAGAACATTTGTTTGCTCATTACATGAATGTAAGGTGTAATATACAGTTGCAGAAAAAGTATGTGAACCCCTTGGGAGCGTGGATTTTTTGCATGAATTGGGCATAAAATGTGCTCTGAACATTCAAGTCACAACAATTGAAGAACACAGTCTCCTGAATATAATACTACACTTAAACATTAGATGTTGCCATGGTTTAATTGCACATAACAGTAAGCACATTCACAGTGCAGGGAGGAAAAAGTATGTGAAGCCCTAGCTTAATGACTTCTCCCAGAGCTAATTGGAGCCAGGAATGAGCCAACCTTGACTCCAATCAGTGTGATGATATTGGATGTGTTGCTGACAGCTGTCCTGTCCTTAAAAAACACACACCTGTTTTGGGTTTACTAGTTTCAAGAAGCACTGTCTGATGTGAAGCATGACTCGCAGAAAAGAGCTCTCAGAAACCTACGATCAAGAATTGTTGACTTGCATGAAGCTGGAAAGGGTTACAAAAGTATCTCCAAAAGCCTTGATGTTCATGTGTCCAAGGTAAGACAGACTGTCTACAAATGGAGAAATTTAGCACTGTTGCTACTCTCCCTAGGCGTGGTCGTCCTGTAAAAATGACTGCAAGAGCACAGCGCAGAATGCTGCATGAGGTAAAGAAGAATCCCAGAGTGTCAGCTAAAGACCTACAGAAATCTCTGGCCCAAGCTAACATTTTTGTTGACACATCTACAATAAGGAAAACATTAAACAAGAATGGAGTACATGGGAGGACACCACGGAGGAAGCCATTGCTGTCCAAAAAGAATATTGCAGCAAGTTTGAAGTTTGCAAAAGAGCACCTGGATGTTCCACAGCACTACTGGCAAAATATACTGTGGACAGATGAAACCAAGACTGAGTTGTTTGGGGAAGAACACACAACACTATGTGTGGAGAAAAAAAGGCACAGCACACCAACATCAAAACCTCATCTCCACTGTGAAACATGGCGGAGGGAGCATCATGGTTTGGGGCTGCTTTGCTGCCTCAGGGCCTGGACGGATTGTTGTCATTGATGGGAAAATGAATTCCAGAGTTTATCAAGACATTTTGCAGGAAAATGTACGACCATCTGTCCGCCAACTGAAGCTCTGCAGAGGATGGGTGATGCAACAGAACAATGACCCAAAGCATACAAGTAATTCAACAAAACAATGGCTGCAACAGCACAGAATACGCCTTCTGGAGTGGCTCAGTCAGAGTCCTGACCTGAACCCGATTGAAATGCTGTGGCATGACCTTAAGAGAGCGATTTACACCAGACATCCCAAGAATATTGCGACACTGAAACAGTTTTATGAAGAGGAGTGGTCCAAAATTACTCCAGATCGTTGTGCAGGTCTGATCTGCAACTACAGAAACGTTTGGTTGAGGTTATTGCTGCCAAAGGAGGGTCAACCAGTTATTAAGTCCAAAGCATTTTCACATACTTTTTTCCTCCCTGCACTGTGAATATTTACATGTTATGTGCAATTAAACCATTTGGCAACATCCAATGTTTTGTGTAGTATTATGTTCAGCAGACTGTGGTCTTCTATTGTTGTGACTTAGATGACGTTCAGAGCACTTTTTTTTATGCCCAATTCATGCAAAACTCTACGTAATCCCAAGGGGTTCACATACTTTTTCTTGCAACTGTAACTTGGATTACTTCTTCAGTTTTACTCAGATTAGTTGGTGCAAAAATGAATACATCCCACAACAAAAACGACTACATCTAGTATTTTGTATGACCTCCATGATTTGCAAGGACGACACTGAGTCTTCTAGGCATGGAATGAATGACATATTGCAACATCTATCTTTTTTCCATTCCTCAAGAATGACTTCTTTTAGAGCCTGGATGCTGGATGGAGAGTGATGCTCAACTTGTCTCTTCAGAATTCCCCATAGGTGTTCGATTGGGTTCAGATCAGGAGACCTACTTGGCCACTGAATCACTTTCACCCTGTTCTTCAGAAATGCAATAGTGGCCTTAGATGTGTGTTTTGGATCATTGTCATGTTGGAAAAGTGCACGATGACCAAGGGTACGGAGTGATTGGTAGCATCTTCTCTTTCAATATAGAGCAGTACATCTGTGGATTCACAATACCATCAATGAAATGTAGCTCCCCGACACCAGCAGCACTCATGGCTCTGAGGAAGAGGTTGTGTCCTCGAAACGCGTTAGCCAGTTGGTCATCCAGGGTTCCATCGTATGGACTCAGATGTTGTTTGGATCATACACCTTGTTCAGTTTGACATGCCTGTATTATGTCCATTGTGAGTATGATACCTATTTTTGTTTCTTTAATAAATTATTTTAAACGATAATGCACTAGGTCGGTGCGCCCTTTTTCTGTTTTCTCCATT